CAAAATATTAATAGCAAATACACCTAGCATAACAAAAAACACCAAGGGCTCTGCCCTTCTGCTTTACTCACAGCTCCAGTGACCAGAGGAACGTGCTGAGTTTGGAGATGTTGAGGGATGAGCAGCCGCCAAGCAGGCCTGCAGCATAAGAGCCTAGGAATACAAGAGAGGCACCAAAATCTTGGGAAAAGACGAAAGCCACATGGGTAAATAAGCAGGTCCTCTCCAAGCCATGGCCTGCAGCAGGCTCATCGCTGCCTCCGCGCAGAGGCATCCACGCCGGGCTGCACCGCAGGCCCTCCCGGCTCCCCCAGCAATGCAGCCCCTTCCTGCCTGCCTCCCCCTGCCATTCCCAACCAAACAAGCGAGCAAACACGCTCCGCTCAACAGCGGGGAGCGGACACGCACCCCAGCAGCCACGGCCAGGGAAGGAGGAGCAGGTCCCGCTCCCGTCGCCCTCCCTCCCAGCTCCAGCAGTGCCCAGCGCTGCAGGGAGCCCCCACTTAAATAGGGCCCGTTGTGCTCGGAACGCCCCGCCGGACACGGCGCTGACAATAGTCCCCACCGCGGGTCACACTAACCTCGGGGCCCGCGCTAGACGAGTGTCAACACCGAGAGGTGCCACTTGAGAAGAATGGACAGTCATGGTCTGTGCCTGGTGTCAGCTGAAGCGGGTGACAAAGCCCTTTCTGCAGGGGACACTCCTGCCTGGGTTGCTCATCTTGACCACCCTGGGAGCCTGCGGAACCGCACGGTGAGGGTGCCCACAGCCTGGCCCTGCTCCATGGAAAGGTGCTGGAGCCACCGCAGCCCCCTGCTCCTCCAGGGTGTCTCAGTCTGCCTACAAGGGACACCGATTTGCTGCACAGGTGACAAACACCCGACTTCACCAAAAACAAGGGGAAAGGTTGATCAGCAAGACCACGCGTGGGGCAGAGCTCCCGCTGCCCCTCGGGGAGCGGGATGGGCACTGTCCCTCGCAGGCCCGCGCCGTCCTCCCCGGCGCGGGGACGGGCACAATGGGGACGCGAACAAACACGGCCGCCAATTTGCCGTGACACAGGCGCCACGCTCCGAGCTGCCCGGCTGCGATATTATCAGCAGCCATTGTCCAGGCGCAAACAGCTCGAGGCCACGCCGCAAACAATAGGACGCTTTAAAGCGGCCACATCGCCACCACCACCGTGCAGATGTGCTAATTGCTCATCTGCCTCGCGGTCAGTCACTGCCTCAGCACAGTCCCAGGGGAGATACCCCAACAAGCCGATATTTTAAACAAGATTTGTAGTCGAAATGTCCCTTAGCAGCATCGCTATCAGGTGCAAGCCAAGAGCTGCGGGCAGACACCGGAGCGCCCCGCGGCCTCCAGGCACCCGCGGCAGCACCGGGGACCGAGCGCCGCTGCCCACGCGGGACCCCGAGGAGCCCTGCACCGGCCGGCTGCAAGCGCCAGCACCAGCCAGCCAGGCCCCGAGCGCAGGGTTTGCGGCGAGCGCACGCGGAGCATCTCAGCGCCCGCACGCGCTGCTGGCAAACACGGCCGCTGCCACGCTCCCGCAACCACCTTCCATGCTCGAGTACAAGCTCCCTGCACAGGCCCTCCTCAAAACACATTTTCACACGCCGTGATGCCCGCCAATACCGCAGGGGAGGCTCCAACGGGTAACTCTTCTGGAACAAACTGTCACGCTGTGGGTTTGGTCCTCCCTCCTCCGCTTCCCTGGATGGAGGGATGAAGCTTCGCCCCAGCGCAGGAGCAGATGCAGGAGCCGATGCAGGAGCCAAGGGGAGCCGGGGGAGAGGGCGGCCCTGGAGGCCGGGCAGCCTCGCGCAGGGCCGCGGGGGCAGCGCTGCCATCGCAGCCTTTGTCCAGCCGCCACCGAGCTGCCCGGTTCCAAGTCACTTCACAGTGACATTCTTGTAGGAGAGGGATAATTGCAAATTAATAAAATGCCAAGGCACACTGTATGGAACAGAGCATTGTTTCGCTGCTCGTGTTTACCTCTGTGTTTAACATTATACCTGCTGCAGAGCTCAGACTTCGATAAAAACACCGCCAATTACTTGTTAGAAGACGTACCTACTTCTCATCAAGCATTTCCCCCATTACTGTAAATACAGAGAAGGAAGTTTAAATGCAGCCATCCTTTCCTTTCTTGGGATCCAACAGAGAACTCCAGTTCCCAGCACAGCAGCCTTCGGAAAGCAGCGCCTCGGCCCTCCCACACGCCGAGCTGCTTCCCCGCGTTCAGCGCTGGAGCTTCCCAAGGCTGGATCCTGACTCCCTACAGTGCCCATGCAGTGGAACTGCCACCGGGTTCAGCTTCCCAACTGTCCCCTGGAGTCTATTTGGCAGAATTAGTAACGCATACAGACACAAAGGTGCCCTCAGCAGCCACCTCAACGCTGCAGGGCCATAGGGACCAGAGGGAGGGCTGCAAAGGAGACGTTTTGGCCACTTTCAAGTCTTTATCTTGTTCTTACATCACTGGTCTTTCCAGCAATCCTGTACCTGCCCTCAGCAGATTGCACTCCTGGAAAAGCAGAAGAGTCAGCAACAGGTCTACACTGTTCATCAGCTTTGCGCAACCTGTTCAGACAGTTCTCAGTGAGTTTTGTTGGTATTGTTGGAGGTTTTAAATATTCTTTTTCAAGGATTTCAAGGTCTTCCCTTTCACAAGATTCTGGGAGGATGGCACACCGCGTTAGGGAAACACAACCATGAGAGGAATAGGTTGTTGTGGCTCCTTTCTACCAACACTCCCATGAATGCATCCTCTCTTAGGAACAACGTGATGCTGAGGGAGTCTGTAAAACAGCTGCCCTGCCTGAACCCTGAGCCTCGTGAGGTCGCTTGGGGCATCTTCTCACTGCACTAGCTTGCAGCCAACACAAGCCTACTGATTCTGCAGCATTATTGACACAGAAGTAAGTCTTGAGCTGTGTTTCCTGACTTCACCATCCTAGCTTACTCCCCAGAAAGGGACTAAAATTATTTCTAAGAACAAAAACCTTTTGGTGGGGTAGCTGGGACACAAGCATGGATAGAGCTAAGAACCAGGCATCCTCCCACACCTTCAAATAAGAACGTGCAGCGTATAATCAAATCCCATGTCAATTACGAAAGCATTCACGGCGACTAATAAAACACCAGTGGGTATCTATCTGCTCAGATAAGATTATTCTGTCACAGGACCAAGGCCCCACACTACGAAAGGTCATTCAACATTAATGGATGAAAATTCCTTATGGTTGTCCCTATGTATCTCCCTGACAGTCTCTGCAATCTGACATTGCAGTTACTGCTCGAAGTAATGATAAACTTGAGACTTTTTAAACACACAATGTAAGATATGTTCTTCAAATGACCCTCCAAGAGCTCAGAAGCTCTGGAGGGACCAGGGATGAAACCCAACCACCTACAATTCACTGAACAGATTAAATTAATTCATGAAGATTCTCACTAAGGACAAGCTCAACAATTTATGGAGGTTCTTGTCAGTTTAACCTTTACATCTTCTCCACTATCTAAATTATTTCTGTGGCCACTGTCAGTGTGACATTAAGAAACTGCAGGGAACTCATGGCAGCTATTAGACCAGAATCTACAGCTCTTGGACACAACACGCATCAGTTGAGCACAGCCTGGTTTGGGGATTCTCCTGATGTACAGCGGGATCCTGCTAGACAATATTTTTACATTCAGTGCAGATAAGTATTTTAGTTCAGTTTCTTCATGTTATTCATCTCTTTCAGAAGGTGAAAGGGTTGAAGAACTTTTCTTTTGAGACAAACGTGAGGTCAGTGCTACTTCAGAATTATCTCTGATAATATTATATAATGAATATCCACATTATATAATGAATATCCACATATCTAGGCAGGCATAAGTGGCCCAACAATAATCTTATGCTTCCAGTATGCTGCCAAGAACCTATTTGCAATACTTGTGAACACAACACTGGATTTTCCAAGGTGGCCGGGTAAACTACAGAATGCATCTCCCACTTGCCCTGGAGCTCCAGGATCAGGGTAGAGGTGCATGCATCTGTGCACCTGCAGTGGGAAGGAATGTGGCCATACCAGCAAAGACAACAAGCTAGAATACTTGGGAACAACTGCAAAAACTCTCTCTGTGGCAGGTGACAGTACTGGAATTGCTAATCCACACTGAGCACAACCTGCAAGGCAACTTTGCTACTAACACGAAGCACAAGGTATTTAACAGCCCAGTGCTACTACCTGCTGCTTTCCATGGCTGAGGTCTGTCTGGTAGGAACTCTGCAGTACTTTGCAGGTAAGTGCCTAAACTTACCTTCTCTCCCCTAGATCATTCTTTACTTCTTTTGAGCTGCAGCAATGCTCAGTGTTCCAGATCTAGGCAGAGACTTGATTTTTATTTCCATCTACAGAGATGTGCTCCTGTTTCATTCTGAGATTTCAGAAATATTCCTTTTCTCTGCAGCTTTATTCAGTCATTCATCAGACTAAAATTCAGACCTTTTTTATTTAAAAAATATTTCCTCATTACCTCCCAGTCTTTTAACAGGGAACGAAATGGTCAACATATTCTGAACCACACAGATTATATATCCAGTGATTTTATTTTTGGTCTCCAAATCCCCGCCTCAAGCCAATTGCATTAGCCCATGCCATGTTCTATGCTATTACTGCTGGTACTTAAGCCAGCTTGGCTATTTATACTGCAGTTCAGTGCAGACAATGTGCTTCACGACAGAGCTGGAACCACCTAAAGTCTGGCATTCAGACTGGGCTCGCTGGATGCCTCTATAGGATCAACGGAGAGAGGTTCTCCATCCCTTCCAAAAACTGTTGTTTATGACAAGCAAGATTCATTGTTTTGGAGGAACCTTCTCTGTTGGTTATAGCAGTCTGTGAATTGGCATGGAGACCCTTGGAGGCATCTCCATGTCTTCCCAAAAGTGGAAATCATCAAAAAAAGCACCAGGGCTCAACAACTAGACTACTTTCAGTACAGGGACCTCATTGTTAGTCTAATATCTGCCTAGCAAACGTAACCAGAGCATTGCTTGGGTCTATCAAACATTCACTTTAGCATAGCCCAGGAACCCCCAAGCAAAGAGATTTAGCCGTTTGCACCCGTAGACGTGGCTTAGGCAACAGCACCCATCTTTTCAGTGTGTTGCTCTGAACCTGCCCCACCATCCTCCTTTCCAGCCTCCCGAGGAAGCAGAAACGCAGCCATCCTCAGAGCTGGCGACCAGCCTGTGTCAGGATTTTGCTCACGTTTCTGCAGGAAAGTTACCTGGAAGAGAGAACAGAGTGACTCATGCGTCATCTGCTCTCCCTCCTTCGTGACCAGCGGGTAGACGCGGAGCAGAACTAAAACCTCCAACCTTTTGCACAGTTGCTGCTGAGCCCCCTCAGAACTTGCTGCTAGTTTTGCTCGTCTTGCTTTTACTGATGAGCTTGAACAGTTGCTCACAGGTTCTTGAGAGAATTGACATGTACCTTGGCATTTTCACCTTCTTCTGCTGGTTAGGCTGCCTGAAAATGTCAGAAGCCTCATCGCATGCCTAAAGCTCCTGCACTTCAAATCACACCCCCCAGACCATTTCAGTTCTGCTTTGATCCGACACATATCCTGCATGCTTGAAAAACACGACAGCATTTTGGGGGGACAATATTTTTCTGAAGTTAAAGCACAAAGGAGATAATTTCTTAAAGACCTTCTGCTGCAACTTTACTGAGACATAAGGGCCAGAACTGGAGAGTCATGCTGCTAGCCATACTGATGCAGAGAGGAAAGCAAGAAGCGCAGACTGCATCTTCATTTCTGAAAGAAGCTGTTGCCTGCGGGCAGGATTCACAGAGAAGAACCCGTGCAAATGCAGTGACCACATTTTGAATCAGAGCTGACTTTACTCCGACCCCTGCTGAATCACAGGTGCCTGCACAGAATCGCACCCGCCAACGTCCTTTAGCCTGAGCAGCCTCCTCTCCTCTGGGCCGTTTCCTGCAGTGAAACAGATGGCAAATCTCTGCAATATCAAACCCAGGCAGCAGAAGTACCCTCAGCACTCCAGGCATCACTGGAGATTTGCTATACAAGCTCATCCAGCACGTATTCCTCCCACCAGCCTCCCCGACAGACCATGCTAAAAGTCACTGATTTCTTTTGCATACTTCCCATGGACACCTCCTGATTCTCAGCAAACTCCTGGCCACTGGAAATCAGTCACGTTTCCTTGTGGGAGCTTCCACTGACACTTCCTACCTTTCCCCCTCCCTGTCACATTGGGCACCATCAGCTGGCTCCAATGCAAGCACCAAGAGCAAAGCAGTTAGAGCATCCCCTGTTAGAAGGGCTTGGAAAAGTCTAAGCACTTGTTGAGAGACGTGCCTGGAAGGACGGACAGAGCAGCTGCCACGAGGGCCAACAGCTGAAGGCTCCAGTGGGAACAGGACAGGGCCCTCGGCTCTCTCCTACTGCCGACAGCACACGGAGCAGTCAATGTAGGGGCAAAACTGCTCATCTGAACTACAAGATCCCTAAATACGGTTTATGGATAATGAAATATGGAGAAAATAAACAATGCCTTAGGGACACCCACAGTCCTGTCTCAGAAATAGGGTGTAACTAAAGTCTAGCGTGAACTGAAATACTCTGTTCGTGAACAGTCTTCCTAAGTGACTGTCCTCCTGGAAAGGGATTGGAAAGGTTCCTTCTTCTCTCATCCTTATCTGCCCAGCTCTTTCACTAAATATTATAGAAGTGTCACCTCAGTAAAGCTTCTTCCATTTTTGTGAAAATAAACACGTTTAATATAAAATGCAAATAAATAACTCACTGGGAAGGATCTACATACGAAGATCTTAACTGTACTGTACCAGGCACTAAGAATAGGACAACAGCTTATCAGAATGTTCTTGCCAGGAATGGTGCACAGACAAACGTGATCCATCAAGCACGAAACTGCAAAATTGTGTTAATGAGCAATAACCACTGGGGGATGGGGGGACAGGAATCAGAAGGCAGAAAAATTCTAATTGCTCGAGCACTACTTCACTGTTTTGAAGGTTATAACAGCACCTTGAGAAAACAGAGCCTTTACCAGCCTTTGCAGAGCAAACTTTGCAAAATTCTACCCTGCTATTAGAATGGCACCATTACTGCAGTCCAGCCTCAGCCAGCTGATTAAGACATAAGTATCCATATTACTAATAAAACAGTGAGTGTCAGAAATAATAACCATTATAAGCATGTATGATTTCAGCTACAGAATGGAGGGAAAAAGGCTTTTATGGTATCTTATGAATAACACTCATCTCTGGGGAACTATCAAAACAGAAGATGCCTTTTTCCAAAGCAATCGCTGATGATCTATGAGCAGAGAAAACAGACAGCTATGCATGAAGATTAGAGCACGTCATTCGAAACACACTGCAAGGCCCCAGAGAAGGCTGCGTGGGACAGCCCTGTGTCCAAGAGACATTCAG